AATGCATAAAGAAGTAAAGAAGAAAGTGGAAATAACCGTAGTACCCCAAGAAAGCTCATTATCCTTCTAGCGTGACAGGTTTTTTCCTTTGCTCCTTTTTCAAAAATGTTTTTACATTAAAGGGATATTCTATGCACGCTGCTTTCTACTTTTGAATAGTTAATGTGTACACGTAGCATATAGTACAAAAAGTTCAAGTGGGTACACAGCGTGGAGAAAGTATGAGATACCTTTTGCAAGGATACCTTTGGCTCTGGCTTCTCTATGCAATTCACTAATCAACTGATTAATTTATTAATTAGAAAACAATTATTGGGTGCCTGCCGGGTGGGGGACACCAGGGTTCCAGAGGTGAATAATACAGGCAAAGCTCCTGCCCTCAGGCTCCCACACCTCACTGCCCTGGTAACTCCATTTATTCAGGCCTCTGTCTGTGGTCTGGACACCGGGCAGAGATCCTGTTCTGCAAAAAAGTGTTTGGTGTCAAGCACAGAATGTTAATGGGAGCCACTGAATTCCTGGGCAGACGGAATTAAGAGTCCTGGACAGACTTCCACTACTGCCTCATGAAAGGTCTTGTTCTTTGAGGCTTTGGCAACATGGAGCTTCCTTTGACCTTTCCAGGTCACGTCTTTGTCTAGCCTGAGGTGCATTCCCTTGGCCTATGGGCCTTTATTTTCAGTCCAGCCTCTTCCCTTCAGAGATGTAGCAGAGCTTCAAGCCTTAGAGCCAAGCTTATTTGGCTTGAAATTATGATGGTAAATGAGAAGCAATGGGAGTGGCACCTCTGAGTCAGCCCCCATGGGTGTAGGTGAGCAGCACCCAGGCCTGAGCCAGAGTGTGTGACTACCCTGCAGTGTCTGTGATGGCTCCTCAGTGGAGCTCCCGCTCTAGGGGATGGCTCCCGTTCATTCAGGCCTGCGTTTAACGTTCATTCAGGCCTGCCCCTACTGTGTACCAGGGGCTCTAGTAAGCACTGCCCCTGGAGAGGTAAACAAGAACATGTCTTTGCTTTCAAGGTGCAGTTTCTTGGGGGAGACAAATATGAGGAGAGATGATAAAATCGTACAATGTAAAGAAGCTATGTGGCACAGAGTGAAAGCTTCACAAGCAAGGTGATATTTTAGCTTGCTCTTGACATATGACCAGAAAAGAGGAGAAAGTCCATTGCAGGTGGAGGCAGAAGCACCAAGATATAAGTGTCCATTCTTCATGCTTTCCTCAGAAAGAGAAGGAGGCAAGGGGGGAAGAGAAAGGGCTGGAAGGGAGAGTGACTGGGCCTCAGACAGAATTGGGTGTTCTCTCCTGTTCTCCTCTCCCCAGGTTTCCCAGTCACCATCCTTTCTGTCATGTAGTCCACAGATACACAGGATTCCCTAGTCTCACCTCTTCTGCAGCAAAATCTCACCTCAGATTCGTAATTGCCCCAAACATGAATTCATCCTGAGGTTAAGCTGATCTGTAACTCCTAAAGAGATATCCCTACTGAGGATATGTACATTTAAATAGTTTTCAAAATTTCTTTCTTCCAAAAATTTTTTTCTAAAATGTTTAGTTTTAAGAGAGAGAGAATGTGTGTGCAAGCCATGTGTGGGGGAGGAGCAGAGAGACAGAGAACCCGAAGCAGGCTCTGCACTGCCAGCACAGAGCCCCATGTGGGGCTTGAACTCAAGAACTGTGAGATCATGATCTGAGCTGACTGAGCCACCCTCAAAATTTCAAGCCAAAGGATTGCTGCTCTGCATGGGTCCTTAGACATCAGATTGTAGGCAGAGGATTTGGATGGGGGAGGATGAGGTCTTCTCAGAAGCAATGAGGTCTTCTTAGAAGCAATGAATTACCAAACCCTCACTTTTTGATTGTAGCCTCCAAGGCTTTAGGCAGTGCCATTCATTAAGACCTCATGAATTCCCAGCCATCCATATATCTGGCCAGTCACAGGAAGTTTGGTGCCTTAGCACCTGGAGCCAAGACCCTTTTCCCCTCCCCTGATCACCCTGCAGTGGTTGGTGATGGCCACTCCTTCCTGTGTTTCTCAGAAGCCTCCTGTTTATGCTGCTGGGCATTCTGGACGAGGTGAACTTACAGGTCCGTGCAGGGAGTTGTATGCTTACGTGATCAGGCTAGAGAAATGCGGGTGTGGAAGCAGGGAGCAAGGAGTGGAGGCCATAGAGAGGCTGTGACAGTCCAAGCAAGTATTGCGGGGTAGAGAGGCTTTGGGGGCCACATAGCCATCATGACCTGTCATGCCTGCAAGTCAGCAACTATGAGCTCATCAACTTTTAAGTCTGTGGTTATCACTTTAAGGCTTTCAGGGGAAGCCGCCTGAATCTAGAAAGCAGTCCTAGAACCCCAGCAGACCAGTGAGAGCTCATGATGTCTGCTGCTTGAGTGAGAGCATTCTCCTCCCAGCCCTGCTTCCCAGGTCCCCTGCTGGGCTCCTTGGGCTTGCTGGGCAGCTTTTGTGAACTTGCTCAGGGCATTTCTGGCCACGGTGAAGGGCAGCTTGGCCCCACACTTTGTGAACAGGATGAGACAAGAGGTGGCAAAGGCACAGTTTCACTCCTGCCCTCCTCACACCTGGGGACCGGCAGAGAGGTCTGCCCCTTGTAACTGAGCTCCCCAAATACGTTCCTCTGACACCATTCCCAGGAGAGATGTTCTGATAAAAGGATGATACGGTGAAGCTAGTGAGGGAATGCCATGTACCATTCCCACCCTCTTTGGGGGAGGCGGTGCACACTGTTTACAATAGTACAATAGTGCGAGAGTCTCCAGGAAGTCCTGCTGAGAGGAAACCTGCTCAATTTCCTGGATGCCGGCTTTCCCTCTTTGATCCAATTGCAAGTTCCTATAGTGCTAATATCCCATGGGCTGCATTGTACGAACACTGCCCTAAATGCCCCCCACTTCTGTTGCCATGTGTCCATGACTGGTAGACATGTCCTCAGGAAAAGGCCTGGGTGCCTGGGCAAACACTTCTGGCACTCCCGTCTTCATTTTACCATTTGGGTCTGGGGAACCCTGGTTGGCCCAGGACCAGCCGGCCTCTCCAGAGGGCTTATGAGAAAGCAGGTCCCGGTGTGGTCCCTGGTCACTCTACACTTGGTCGGAGGTCTGGGCCAGAGCCCGTGATGGGAATGAGGAGAACCCCCTTTGTGATCAGCGGGTGCTGGGGACCGAAGGTGGGTTGTGCATGGGGGCTGATCGCAAGAAAGTGGGCATGCACTCAAGCTGGGCATCTGTGGAGTGTGTCTGCTGGCATGTTTAGCTCTCAGGGGCCTACTTTGGTCCCTAGAGAGACCGCATGAGGAGGAATGGCCGGGTGTGCTGAGGGACGATCGTGTGGTTAGATTCCCCTCTGACTGGGAGGGTTTAAGCAGGCACGGTGGGATGTGGAAGGCAGGGGGCTGGCTCTGAGGTCCTCTGAGCCCATCCACTTTTCAGATCCAGGGGCAGAGCCACAGAGCAGCCGAAGCCAGCAGAGCTATCCCTAGCATATGGGTCTCAGATGACCTGGGGGTGTGTGGGAGGGAAAGATGGCCAGCTGCGGGAGAGTGGGGGTGACTCGGGTGCGTGGGGAGGAGACGGCACTGGGCACTGCCGAGTAGGAATGGAAAGCTCTGGAGGCTCCAATGCAGCCAGCCACCTCACCTGCTGCAGCTACCCCTTACAGCACCAGGGCCCACAGCTCACAGCTCCTCACACAGCACATGCACCTATGCCTGTAGGTGCCCTATGCCCTGCCCTTCCTCAGAGATGCCCTGAATGTCCACTTACCACCAATGGGCACTGACATATCATGGCAGAGATGGGGGTGCACCAGGAGCATGTTTATGATTTGTACTCCCTGGGGAAGGCTCTAGACCCTGCATGCTACACAGGAGGCCTGGATATGTGGGGAGACAAGAAGCATGGTCCCTTACCTTCTCTCCACTTGGCCAGATCTACTCTTTTCTCCTGCCTGGTTGCCAGAGACTGCCAGAGCATAGGTTGCTTGGCAAGACCAGTGGCGACAGCTCACTTGTGTTTGTTACAATAGTTACGGAATGAAGTCCAAAATGCAGAATCACTTGACTCCGGAAACTGGTGATTCCCTCTGTCTCTGGTAACAGTCCCCCTGCCCCCCAACTTCCCCAGGACCTTTAACATAACCTTTCTTAAGGATAGTCAGGATGCAGGCACTTGAATCATAGTTCTGTTTTTCAAAAAGGCTCAGGGAACCCCCTCATCAGTCTTCAGAGAAGTGGAACATAAAAAAGTGTGAATTCATCATCCATTCATTTGTACCTTGGTTTTTAGATGCCTTGACTTCCCTGTCCTGGATTCAGACTCATGGTGTGTCTCTCTGTTTCCTATCCACATAGAAACAGGAGAAAATAAGGTGGGACAAGGCAAGCTTCTCCTGACCCCATTAAATATTTATTTCTGGATTGAATATTGAAATAGAAGAGAGCTCACATGGAGAGAATTGTTCTTTTTCCAAGGGCTCTTCCACTCAGTTGAGTAGAGGTTCTGGAGGAGGAGACCCCAGAAATGATGCCCAGAGGCAGCACAGAAAGCCACAGCTGGATCCCTGCTGAAGCATCATCATATAGGGCAGCGATTTGAAGCTTGGGAAGAACAGCCTGCCGCAACATCAGTGTTTCTTCCTCCCTTCTTTCTGTTTCCATTTTCAGCCCTGCTTAATTCCCGGATATGTCATTGAATTCACAAAGTATCTGGAGTGTCAACCATATGTTTAACTGTATTATTTATTGGCTACATTCTTCCTTTTCTTGGAGAAGATGCTTTGTGTTTAGAGCCCAGTCAGAAATGGTTATGGGTTCCCTTGCTAAGATCTGTCCGCTGCCCTGCCCTCCTTTGCTAATATAGATCATGCAGACTGTGCAGACATAATATGGGCTTGGATGAATTTTGTATATTTATGTGCACAGCCATCTTAGAGGCTGCATCCCTCTCTCTTTGGTGAATCTGTTCCTTAACTTCACCTTTCCTACGCCATTTGAGTACATGATTTTGGCCACCATCATTGCCAACTGCATTGTCTTGGCCCTGGAACAGCATCTTCCTGAAGATGACAAGACCCCGATGTCCCGCAGACTGGTATGTGCCTCCTTCCTTCTCATCTTTCCCCCTGTCCTTCCCTTCCCTGGTTTCTTCTCCTTTGCTTCATCACCAGGCCCCTTCCCCCCTTCCCAACCCTACAGTTCTGTGACTGTGAGTTTGTTCTTTGCCAAGGAACAAGCTGGTGACAGACCCCATTGGACTGCATAAAGAAGAGAGGAATGACCTTTTTAACTCCTCTTCCCAGGAAATTCTGAGGGCATCACAAACACTTGTGTATACACTGCATGATATCCCGACAAGAAGAAAGGGGGGGCAGGGGGCGCCTGAGTGGCTCAGTCGGTTGGGCCTCTGGCTTTGGCTCAGGTCACGATCTCACGATTTGTGGGTTCGAGCCCCACATCAGGCTCTGTGCTGACAGCTCAGAGCTTGGAGCCTGTTTCAGATTCTGTGTCTCCCACTCTCTCTCTGACCGTCCCCTGCTCACGCTGTCTCTCTCTTTCTCTCTCTCTCTCTCTCTCAGAAATAAATAAAACATTTTAAAAAAAAGAAGAAGGGGGGACATAAGGGCCATTCAGTTTGCTCTCCTTAATAAGGGACTTTTGAAGTGAGAGGGAGAGAGAGAAGAGAGGCTGAAGGGCACGTGCGTTCACAGTGGTGAACTTCCTAGATCTTATGTCCATATTCTCCTTAAAGCAATGATTCATGTGTCTGGTGTATTCCCCCTAGAGAGGTCATATTAATTGCTTAAACTCCAAATGTGTGGGTAAGTGGCTCTAGCCTGATTACCAGCAGATGAGAACCCTTGAGCTTCCAATGTAAGTGAAGATTAGCAATGGAAAAGCCACCTCTTTCAAGGCAAGGCTAGAAGCATCAGTTATGCCCCTGGGAAGAAGCCTGGCCTGGGTGTTACTCCTGTATCCATCTATTTCTGTAGCTGGCTTTCCTGAGACTTCCCTTGCTCCTGTGCACTCTCCGAGTCCTCCAGTGAGTGCATGCTCTTCCCACCTGTACATGGGGCTGGCCCAGCGCAGATGTCCAGCTGTCCTGTAGGAGACAGGAATGCTCAGAGTGGAGGGGGCAGTCAGGATGTGCCTTTGTCTGCATTTGATTAAGTATATCCCCTTCCTTACCGGCACCTTTGCTCCTCATCCCACAGGAGAAGACAGAACCATATTTCATTGGGATCTTTTGCTTTGAAGCTGGTATCAAAATTGTGGCCCTGGGGTTCATCTTCCATAAGGGCTCATACCTCCGCAATGGCTGGAATGTCATGGACTTCATCGTGGTCCTCAGTGGGTGAGTCGTCTTCCTAGCTTTCCTTTTTTGTGTATGAAGATGCACCTGTGTTGTCATGAAGTGGCTGGTGCAGGGAATTCAGGAATGGGAAGGCAGTGGTCCATGGAGTAGGGACAGAGGAAAAAAGTTCAAGGACAAGATTCGCCATGGGCCTAGACCACAGGTGACCCGCCTGCAGGGGGAGTATGGGTCCTCTGTGGAGATGCATGTGGTGTTCGGCAGAGGTTATAGAACTGAAGTCTGGCTGCTACTGCTTCTGGTTTTCCATTCTGTGCTTGGCTAGTGCTGGACACATGTATCCCAGTGAGTCTTTTCACTAAAGCAGCTTGCCATAGCCTGAGGGACACCCCCAAAAGATGGGCTTCAAATGCCGGAAGGTGCGGTTTTTCTTTGAACGTTGGGAAGACCCCCAAGGATATTTGCTTAACTGAGAATTGAGACTCGTGTCCTAAAAACAGAATTTTAATGATTTGCAGATTTATTAATAGGAGGAATAAAGTTGAATCACATTACGATGTTTGATAAGTAATACTAAATTGTTGCCGATGCAGTGTCATAGGCAGCATGTATTTATTGGCAGTAGATTTATTTAACTATTCTATAAATCGTTTTTTTGAAAATGAGTATAGTATGCCTCTCTTGGGGCCTATCCAGTGCCATTAGCAGCATACGTGATGGGCCTTAGGACTGGCGATAGTGGGTATGCCTCACTGGGTTTTGTGTCAGGTGGTTTTCGGTTCCTACATGAGAGGGAAGTGGTCCAGGCCTTTTGGGGGAGCCCATGACCTGTGTGGGTATGACAGTAAGGGGTGTGACATGGAAATTCCCACACCCAGATGCTTGTCAGACAGTAGTTCAAACCTGTGTGGGAAAGAAGAGAATGTAGTAGAAAAGTGAGGAGGGGGAACTAGGAGCCACCATCATGATTGGCCAGAAGGAGAGAGGAGCAAAGAGGAAATGTTTTCCAGGGAACAGAGGAGTGGAGGTAGACAAAGTCTGAGAAAAACAAAAGCTTGAGAATGTTCGCGTCTACGCATCATCTTGTGGAATAGACATAATATTTATACTTTTAATCTTCACACCAATTGTGAATACGTGAAAGAGAAAAAAGTTGAAGGCGTAAAGGACTGGAATGTTCAGCTAGAGCTCATAAGCAGCCAACCCCTCAACATAGGGAACAGATAAATAGGTAGAGACAACAGTGTTTAAAAACATCTATTGCCTTACAAAAGGGTTTTCTGAAAGTTTCTCTTCAAAAAGAAAATTCTACTGAATTTTAAATATGATTTAGTGTATAAAGATAATTTGTACATAGTGTTTCAGAAGTGCATGGTCATAGACAATGCAGCACACCTGGGCAATGTGCTTTATGTTTTATTTTTTTCAACTTTATTGAGGTGTGATTGACAAATAAAAATTGTGTATATTTAAGGTGTGCAATGTAATATTTTGACATACATTGCAAAATGATCACCACAATCAAGCTAATTAACATCTCTATCATCTCTCATAGTTACTAAATCTGTATGTGTGTTGAGAGCACTTGAGCTCTACTCTCTCAGCAAATTTCAGGCATATAGTGTATTATTATTAACTATAGTCACCTTAGGTCTCCAAGACTTATTTATCTGTAAATGACAGTTTGTACTCTTTGACCAATGTCTCGCTTACCCCCAATATCTAGTAACCACCATTCATTTCTCTGTTACTATGAGTCTGATTTTTTTTAAAGACTCTACATATAAGTGAGATCATGCACTATGTGTCTTTCTTTTCAGTGCTTGAATTATTTCGCTTTGCATAATGCTCTCCAGGTTCATACATGTCATTACAACTGGAAGGATTTCCTTCCCTTTTTTTTTTTTATTTAAGGCTAAATAACATTCCAGTCTCTGTGTGTGTGCACACACACGTGAGTATGTCTTTATCCATTCATCTATCAGTGGACATTTAGGTTGTTGTCATATCTTGGCTATTGTGAATAATGCTGCAACGAACATGGAGGTGTTAGTATCTCTTCAAGATAGTAATTTTCTTTCCTTTGGATATGTACTTAGAAGTGGGATCACTGCATTCATGGTATTTCTATTTTTAATTTTTTGAGGAACCTCTGCACTGTTTTCCACTGTGGCCGTACCAATGTGCATTCTCACTAGCATTGCACAGGCGGTGCCTTTTTTCCCACATCCTCAGAAATGCTTGTTATCTTTCGACTTTTTGATAATAGCTTGGTGATGTTTTTAATGTACCTAAAAGAAGTAACATATATTATATAATGGAAGATATACAAGAGAATCTAGGTCATTTAGAAATGTTGTGATTCTGTCTAGAAGAAAAATACTATCATACATGTGTATTACATATTATGATTATGTGAATTCTTGGTCCTGCTGAATTTTATATTCAGAGGCCATTTGGAACTTCTCATCTAGTCCATTTATTTTTCTTTTAAACTATTATGTGTCCATTAAAGAAAATCGGGAAAATACTGGAAAGTCAAAAGAAAAAAAACAGTTCACAGATTAAGAAAAATTCTTAATTGTTTTGTGGTGTTTCCTTCCAACCCTTTGAATGCCAAGAAAGCTTTCTTTTCAGTGTTTGTAATTTTGCTGCCTTTTCTCAATATAGTATGGGCATAGGACGTGCAACTCCACATTTTGTTTTTTTTCTTTTATAGTTTATTGTCAGGTTGGTTTATATATAACAGCCAGTGCTCATCCCAGCAAGTGCCCTCCTCCATGCTCACCACCCCCCTTCCCCACCCCTCCTCAGCCCTTAGTTTGTTCTCAGCATTCAAGAGTCTCTCACGGTTTGCCTCCCTCCCTCTCCCCAACTGTTTTTCCCCTTTTTCTCCCGCTTTGTCCTCCATTAACTGCCTCCTAATCCACCTATATGTGCAAACATATGGTATTTGTCCTTCTTGGCCTGACTTATTTTGCTCAGCATAACACCCTCTAGTTCCATCTATGTTGCTACAAATGACCAGATTTCATTCTTTCTCATTGCCATGTAGTATTCCATTGTATAAATATACCACATCTTCTTGAAGCAACAGAAAGAGAAATCAAGAAACTGATCCCATTCACAATTGCACAAAAAAACCTTAAAATACCTAGGAATAAACCTAACCAAAGATATAGGAGATCTGTATGATGAAAACTATAGAAAACTTATGAGGGAAACTGAAGAAGACACAAAGAAATGGAAAAACATTCCATGGATCGGAAGAATAAATATTGTTAAAAAATGTCATTACTACCCAAAGCAATCTACACATTCAATGTAATCCCAATCAAAATTGCACCAGCATTCTTCTCAAAACTAGAACAAACTATCCTAAAATTTGTATGGATCCACATTTTGGTAAAAATCTGTAATGCTTGACCAGCAGTTTATTAAATAGATATACATAGAAGATGTGCATTTCTCCATTTTTACAATTATTTGACAACTAGACTGCTTTCTGGTTTTGGCTCTTATGATTAATTATTAGAAGTGCTTCGGTGTACAACTTGAAGGCTGTCACATTTTAAGAGGCATTGTGACAGGTCAAAACACTTCTAACGGAGAATCCGCTCTTCTGGTGTGGGGTCTGGGAGCGAGGATGTGTGGGAAGGCGGAGGAGCGGGCTCTGACGGGAGGGTAGAAGACTGATGGAAGCTCTTAGCACTGCCTTCCCATTCGGGTTGCCATGTGGCCCGAGGAACAGGTCTGTAGGAGTCATCGAGATCCTCTGTTACAGCATGGCCAGGAAGGACCTTCATGTCCTCGCCTGCACCTGTGGGGGTGCACACGCATGGGCGCAGGTGGTGAACCCTAAGCCAAGTTACTTGTCCTCTCTGTTCTTCCCTACTCAGCCCTCCAACATTCCATTCTTTGTGGCTCTTTGCCGAAAGGCCACTGCTGCCCATCTGAACCGATAAGACCGTCCGTTTTCTTCCTGCACCTACTGATCTCTTTCTCCCTTTAATTCACATGTGAATGTGCTCCATGGAAAGGACTTGGCACTCTTGAAATCTGGGCTGAGGGTCCTGAAGTTCTCTCCCACAGGAATGGATAATCACACTTAGTCTTAGGGTCACACTTTCATGTCCCACGTTGTATGGTATCAACAACGCACATTTCTCAAGCTGGAGTATCTTCCACATAAGCCTGTGTCTTACAACAATGACATCGTATAGTTTAATCAATAGCATTTTCCTCTCTTCACTAAGAAGGAAATCGTGGGGCATCTTACAACGCTTGAGGTCTTAGAAGCAGTGAAATATGTTATAATACCAACCCAGGAGGGCAGGCAGATCCGGCTTTAGATGTGAATCGTCTTGTACGCAGGTTAAGTGCTCAGTGTAAGATCAGCTGCTTCTTGAGGACAGATCAAGGAGTTGCAACTGTGGCCGTTGACCCAGGACTGGTGCCCTGCCTGGTGCAGCCCCCTCTCCATGCGTCCTGACATCCGCCTCTGCAGGAGCCCCTGCAGCAGCTCCTGCTTCCCACCTCAGCTCCAGGCGTCACCTCTCATTCTCCTCCTGTGTACAGGGGGAATGACAGGTGCTGGAGCATGACACAGCGCCTCAGGCTGAGGCTGCACAACTTCTCAGCTCTCAGTGTGTGACTAGAGGGGAGGGAGCGAGGGAGGGGGTGCTGAGGTGTCAGAAAGCTGGTTCAGTGAAAGACCTATCACTGACCTTTGCTAAGGAGTGGGTAGCTGGGGACCTGGGCCACTACGTTTTGCCTCTACCTCTGACCTTCTAACCTTCTGTATTCTTAGGTCTGTAAACTGAGAGAGTTCATGGTTTAGTAAGTTTATATATGTGCGTTATTCATCTAATCCTCATAATCCGCCAAATGAGATCTTGTTATTCTCATTTTAGATGAAGAAACTGAGGTTTAGAGAAGGTATGTGATGTACTAGGAGGCATTTGATCCAAGACTTAAGCCCACATCTTCTCACACCAAGTTCCTTCTTCAGCGCTCATTTTCTCACACCATCAGCTACCACC